TTAGTAATCTCTCGTGGAGCATCTCTAAATGACTGTTTAACGCCATGCGATAGCTTTTTCGACCATTTTCTTAATAAGGGCTAGAGTTCTCAGCGCACAAACACTACCACGGTGATAAGGATGAGCTATGAAAAGATACAGTTTATATAAATGTGTAAAATCGTCTGTTACATCCGTTTATGTCAAGATGGGTGAGTCCAGCAGAGGTAGGTGTCATGTAACTTTCAAAAGAAGTGCATCTTAGGCAGTATGGCTAGATGCTTTCAGGAATTATTTCTTATTAACGGCCCTTACCTTCGTCATATCAAAAAGTCAGGAAAAACAAGTAAGTTCAGAGCGAGAACGGCTGATTGTGCAGCTAGGGTGCCATCCAATTCCTCTAGAATAGGTGCTGCTACCTATCTGGTCCACGTCTAACCCACCCACAAATGGGAAATATATAGTCACGAAAACTTCAGCATTGGTTACTACTAGATGTTAAATGTTGCTGATAGCCCGGCGATGCCCATATCGATGGTCTCAGACTAGAACTGACCCCTCACGTGTATCACACAAGGCTCAGATTCCAATTTCAGTTGAAATCGAGAGCAGAGTACATCAGAGGATTACAGATTGATGGTTCGTACTCTGCTCTGTCACGTGAGCTTTCAACTGAAGGGCCAAATTTAACTGTTCGTTGGAGGGTTTGTTTACTTTCGACTCTGCCCTTCACTGTTGACTCGCACGCTTACCTAACCGCATTTGTTTGCTAAGTTTAGCCCTTAAAAAGGTATCGGACTCAATCATTACAGATGATCTACTCTATCAGTGCTGAAGGACATTAATAGAATAACACTGACTACCACGACCCGTCGGTCAGTAGCAAAAGGAATTTTGAATCGATCGATCTTATAGATATCAAATTAAATGAACGCGAGCTTTATAGCTTCCGATTGGACAAAAGATGTAGTAACAGAGGTGACTGATCGGATTATATGCATTCTGAGAGCTAAGAAATTGTAAAGTTTGGACAAAATCAAAACCTCCATCGAGACTCAAAACTGCTTCTCTGGGACTACTGTACCCTAATGCTGCTTATTACCGTGCAACTGGAAACAAGACTAAAATTCAAATCTCAAAATACCATTGCGAATGATATATTTGCATGTAGTACGCTGTTTCTATGCTTTGATTCAAACAATCGTTAGCAAGTTCGCCGAGTGTCAAGGGCATATTCGGTGTCGACAGTATGGGCGGGGGGTGGAGGGCCGTCGGTTACGGGGCTCTTGTCAACCAGACGCTCTCGTTGCGAAGTCCAGGAGGTGATTTCTCAAGGACATCTACCCAGTCCAGGATCTCCGAGCGGAGAAGGTAATAGGAATAGATGAGAATAACGGAAAAGTCAGAGAGAGGTTCCTGGTATGTACAAGTGCCTGAGACGAAGATCGTTTATAGGCGCACCTGTCTGGTACCCACTTATTCTGCTTGGGAAGAGTGCTGGCTGACCAATGGCGAAGCACAATGCTATACTCTGTTCACCGCCCATGTTCCACCATGCGCTTATGCACTTCACATTTCAGGCATACGCGCTAACGCGTTTGCCAATTGTCAAAAGTGTTTGCTACGATGGAAAAACGGATCAAGAGTAAAAGTGATGGTGGCTTCTGCTATGGGAAATGCACCACAATTCCCACTTTCCGCGTTCGAAATCCTCATGTCTCAGTACGCGCAAACGGACTTCTGTCCCTCGGAGTGTGGAGGCCAGCTAGTACAAAGAAGGAAACATTGAAAATACACAATCAGTCGACTATGTTAGAAGAAGAATTGAAAATAGAAATTAATCAAGAGCGGACTGAAAAGCAAAGGGCTAAGGCCAGTTTCTGTTCTGGAAGTTGCCCTTAAAGCGCAAAGCCGAGCAAATCATGAGTCCCTCTCTCTCGATCAAATGAAGTAAGGAAAAGCAGAATTTTATCACATAGAAGAGTTGAAGGCAGTTTTCTGCGATTCACGATGAGTAGTGCAGTTCCTTCCTATATAAAGGGCGTGAAGTTGTTGGTAAGTAACGATAGTAGATGGAAATATTTCTATATAAAGACGCTCTCTAAGCCGAGCATGTACGTGCATAAGCGGAAGGGGACCGTGCTTGGACGGAGTCCCACTTGCTGGTATCGTGACGATATAACCTCGCTCACTTATCGCCTGACTCTCACAATTTGAAATGAAAAGAACTACCTGGTACTGGTACAACCTATTACGGGTAATTCCTAAAAAGTGAATGCCGGGTGTGATCAAGGCCGTCTAGATCCGGTAACACCATACATTTTTGAGCTGGAGGTGCCCGGGAAGTATTTCATTTCACTGCGAGCAGAACTACGTTGCTCAGCAAGCCCTCTGAACATGAAATGAACGCAGAACGTGCCTTCACTTAGTAATAAGCCGACGCAGGAAGTAGCGAAGGTTCGGTTCGTTGGATGAAACTCGGTATTGGGCTCAATCGAGTCATGCATGGGGTGGTGGGGCAGCCTACCCATCGCTCACCTCAGTCTCACTGACGATGAATTTCTACTTACGAGAGACTCTGGTGAACATCCCACACTCCTTCTTCACCATATCAAGGCTTACTCATACTAATCAGCAAATCAACAGCACTCACCTCATGCTCATCCAGTGGATAAGGTGGTACCGGTGGATACGGTGATGAGGGCATTGGTAGAGGAGTCTGAGGCATTCCCGATGGTGAATATGGTGGATAAGGTTGATACATGGCTGAAATTGTCATTTTAAATTCAGCGAATGGAACGGTGAGAACTGGGTTGTGAGTGAAGCTCGGGAGTCGTCAAACACGTAGAGGAACACTGAAGAAGAGGTTGTGTAGGCAATATGTGCCTTCGTTAAGGAGAGACACATAGAACGAAATGAGCCTCCAATGGAATTATGCAAATGCGAGCGACAATGACTGGGCAGGCATGTTCTCAGAGTGCAGGTTGTTAGGAAAAGCAAAATCGTTTAGATTAGCAAGGAAGAACGAGGAGTGGGGATGAAAGCAATGAAGTTCGGGTTAGCTCACAGAGGAAGGCGACAAGAACTGTTAGCCATGAAAGTTAGCTCACGAGTTGTTTGGGGTGGAAAAGAATGTTTCATAATTTCCTGTGGAGTTCTTCGCTGGACAGGCTGATAGACTAAAGTAGCCGGTAAACCGATGAGGTTAGCTGGATCTAGAAATCTTCAAGTCAACAACTTACTGCGAGAGTCGTCAAGCGGCTTCCTGGTATATCCGTTCCGGTTAACCTTGTACCTCACTTGAGGTTTCTTCCCCTCATACTCGTCTGTTGTTGCCGCTAATCGTTGCATAAACATGTAAACCACAACCACGCAGTATACCTGAATAGACCGGATGTTTTCTGATCCAGGGATAGTAAGGACGCTTAGAGGACCACCCACATTGATGAATACTCCGATAATTTCGAGTATAGTGAGGGCCATCCAGTAGTCGCGTACGTCTCCTGCCCACCACATAATGCAGTACGCCAGTGAGGTGAGGATCGACGACACTATACAGATGAACCATGGCCAGATCAGGTGTCGCGACCACTGAAATAGTATGGTCTTTGCTAGGTGAAGCAAATATCCCAGCAAAAGCTCCTTCTTAGCGCTCATTACTGATTGAAAAAGGTAGAGCAGGACCAATGAGAAAAAAGAAACGTGAGTGGTTGAATGATTTTCTACCTTATGTGACTACTACTTGACTATTTACAACTGTTTAAAACTGATTCCGCTCCAACGTTTGCTGTGGGGTTTCTCAGCCCCTAAGGGGAAGAGGAACCATTTCCGATCACAAGCTCAGCCTTAGCAGAGCGCTGTCATAGTTGGGATTAGAACTCTCAAGTGTATAATGAGCCTGGGTCAGGGAAAAAGTCGCTACAACCAAATTGCCGCAGGCGCCATTTTACGCAAAACAGCAGGAGCACAAAAGCAAGTCCTGTCGATATTCCTGGTCAGGATATCAAATAAATTCACCACAAATCGCTGCAAATTTATAGCGATTTGATGAGAATGGCCGTGGCGCTGTAATGGTTCTTGATGAGGACATCAGGTAACCCCAACATGGTTTATACCGTTTTAATAAAAAATGTGATCGCGCTAAAAAAAAAAAAAAAAAAAAAAAAAAAAAAAAAAAAAAAAAAAAAAAAAAAAAAAAAAAAAAAAAAAAAAAAAAAAAAAAAAAAAAAAAAAAAAAAAAAAAAAAAAAAAAAAAAAAAAAAAAAAAAAAAAAAAAAAAAAAAAATGAGAGAGACCCTAAGAATTGCTATATCCGGAAATCTGGGTACATCATGACCACAGGCACAAGTTCAAACACATTTTTTTCCGAAGATTTTATACTTTTGATAGTTGTACAGCGCCGGATTTAGCCGTATCTGCCCAACATCACTCTTTCGAGGATCAACTCACACGCATGCCACATAAGTCTTCTACGCTTAGTGTCACTGAAATTTCACAATTTTCTTAATAGCGCCAAGACTCGGATGCGCCATCCACGCGGTAGCCATCAAACGTGGATTCTATCTTGAATCGGGACCGTTTCACAAAAAAAAAAAATTGATCGAATGTCGCCAGGTGTTCGTTCACGAACACCCTCCCAAAGCGTTTACATCTTTAGAGGCAAGTGGAATTGAGATGCATCATAAAGAAATCGCTTGGAACAATTGCCTACCTCCGTGAAGGCTTGAAATGTGAGAAGCGTGCAAGCCAAAAAACTGAATTTCAACTTTCTCGCCGTTGATCAATCTATTTCAGAATGCGGCACGCATTCTACTCCCGTTCAAAATCGTAGTGGCTCATTGGATGCTATAAGCAACGAGTTGTCAGTAATGAGTTGCGGGAGTCAGCTGGTGAATAGAGCAGTGAATTTATCCTCCCAAGCACCAATTTGCCGTCCCCGCAGGTTACAAGAATGAGAGTGGTAAGGAGTTACACCCCCCCCCCCTCCACCACCGGCCGGCCGCGCGTGTGGTACCGCTTGTCACTACATATACCACCTCCACCCTCTAAGTGATGGCCCACCCGAAGTGCTCATCACTGAATGAATAAACAATCAATTAGCCGTAATGATTAAATAAACAAAAACCGAATCAAAGATTACCGTATGTACTCCGTAGATGAGAGCCACAGAAGCAAACAGCAGGAAAAACGCCGATATGAGACAAAGAATTTGTATAACGAAGAGACCTGAAACAAAGAATTCGCAATTCTCAAGAACTCTCTGCCAGCTTTGGTTTCGGACCAGGTCGATCTTCCCTTTCCGAACCTTGCGCCGCAATATTTGTTTGAGTGATGCTATGTAAGACGGGACCCCAAGCAAATACAGCCGATGACTCAACGACGACACATGACTCAGCCCGACCCCCGGACTGATTTCTGATTCTTTCATGCTATAAATCGATACAGGAATTCGTATGTGTGAATCAGAAGGACCTGTGGAGGGTTTGGTAGCTCCCATGTTGGAGAATGAGGCCCAGTCTCATGGGCAAATAATTATCGTAGTGATATGCGAGAAGATATTGGTCCTGCGAAGTGGAAGAATCAGTTCCCAATGCACATACACCGGAACAGAAATCGATAAAAAGGTCCAGCTTCAGTTGGGGTCCGCAGTTCAACAGGTTAGGAGTTGAGACATGCCACTTCTCAGACCCTCCGACGATTGAGGGGAGAAAGAGCTCCGGGGTGAGAGAACAATTTTTTAGGAAATGCGAGAAATCCTTGCGGGTTGGGTGGATTTTTTTAGGATTCTCCCGCGAAGCAGCTCCTTTTCGTTCTTGCGCGAAACGCCCACCGCATGTATATTGCACACAGTAGACCCATTACATGCCTCACCATCGCCCCCCCTCAGATACCCGCGCCCCTTTGCAATTCAGCAGTGGACTCCCAGGTGATCCATGGCGGGTTGGGTGGGTTTTTCCAAGATTTTTCCGCGAACATGTCTTTTTTCCACTCTTGTGCAAAGCGCCTACCGCATGTATATTGCACACAGTAGACCCAATCACATGCATCGCCCCAGACAACCACGCCCTTCGGAATTCAGCAGTGGACTCCTAGGTAATTCATCCATATAGGGGTCCACTGCTTCAGGCTCAGGCAAAATTTCTCGCCACCCCGGAGCTAAGCGCAGTGGAATTAATTGGATGGAAAGGGTGTACGTCGTTGCATACGTGGTCGCTGAAGTGTTATGAGATCTCGTGCCGTGTCCTAATCAGGACGCTTTCTGCCACTAGGAATCTTGGAAATATTTACGAGCCCCTCCACCCAATTTCTTCCTCTGGTACGGACCACTTTCCCCATCCTACCTAACATCTTACTGACTTTCCGTACATCCTACCATTTCTTCCTTTTTTCCAAAAAACTTTCCTTTTTCTCTTAGAAAGTTGACGTCACGGGGAAGGGGAGAGGAGGGGATCTTCTGCGCGATTCGTAAACCTTTTCTCAGAAGCAACTACGCCTCCTCTCTTCCAACGACCACTGACGACCCTCTACTCCTCCGCTGGAGATTCCACAATGTACGTCGTGCCGTGGTATTTACGCATAATAACATAATTGATCTGCTGGACTTGAAGTGCGAACCTCTATTGGACTAGCGCAGATAAAAAAATCGCCCTATGGAAAGTACATAATTTTGCTGAATTCCACTACCTGTGTAGTAACGTTCCTCAGGACTTTGCCAGTAGGACTCGTAGTAAGATGGAATGTCATATTTTCCATAGGTGTTATAGTTGGGAAGGAGAGTATTTGCGGCTCGATCTTTCTCGTACTTGATGGCCGCCATCTGCCAACCCATAATACCGAGTTGTGTGATCGAAAAGATCTAAATGTGCTCGATTCCTGGTTTGTCAGCTGCGAAATAGCCCGCGCTGTTTGGTTGGCAGACTGGCGGACGCTGGGCCACAAACGCTCTCCCTCCATTGCTTTCGCAAAAGATGGAGACCTTCAATGATTCGGGTGGTCCTTGCAGTCGACGAGCCGACACATGGGCAGTCCCACTCGCACTGCAGATTTGCCTGGGCCATGGTCACCGAACGACAGTGGTTTAGGACGCCAGTCTGCCAACCGAACAGAAACAGCGACGCTATCGAATACACCTAGAAGGCGATTCACATTTATGACACGACACATTTGAGCAATAAGTAGGGCTGGACTTACCAGCGTCCAGATGCCGATCATCACGGCGCTGTCCTTCAGGCTGAAGCAACAGCATGGATTGCACGCCATTGTGAACTAGAGGAAGCTAGTTGATCTCTCCGCTACTACCCTGGACAGTCTCTCCAATACATCGTACTGAAACTGAAGACAGTTCCTCTCTTTTGTAAAGAACGATTCTCCGCTCGACGACGTTGAGTTCTGAATCTTGCAAGTGAAACTCTTGTGCTAGGCTACATTTGCGTCCAGGTTATAACGAATCATATAAATCGTGCTAAATCAATCTTAGCTCAGAAAACATGGTCCAACCTAAGTAATATGCGTGGATGAAACCACAACAGTCGGAGCAACAGAGAAGAAGGAAGTTGCAAAATATGAAATAATTTGAAAATGAGGAAAGGAGGATGCTGGAAAAAATTTGAGTAG